GCTCACGGTTCGCCTCGACGGCGCCCCGTCTGGCCTCTCCCCTGTCCACATCTCCCTCCTCCCGGGGACACGACTCCTTCCTCCCGAGGACTTTGTGCCCGCCGCCGCTGTGCCTTCGCCTGCGGCCGGGCAGAGCTCCTCCCTGCCGACCCTGCTTTCTGCGGCCCCCTGACGACGGCCCGTTCCGGCCCGCCCCCCACCCTCTGGTGGGGATGCCCTCGCCCTCGTTGGGGCCCCTACCCTCTTCTGCGAACCCCTGACGACGGCCCGTTCCGGCCCCGCCCTCCGGTGGGGATGCCCTCGCCCTCGTTGGGGCCCCTACCCTCTTCTGCGGCCCCCTGACGACGGCCCGTTCCGGCCCGCCCTCCGGTGGGGATGCCCTCGCCCTCGTTGGGGCCCCTACCCTCTCTTGCGGCCCCCTTCCGACGGCCCGTTCCATGGCCCGCCCTCCTCGGCCCCTGTGGTGCTTCCTCCCGGACGCGAGGATTGTGTCCATGGTTGAATTCTGGGGGGGCTTGTGTAGTGATCACTGATTAATACACTGGGGTTACATAATTCAATCCAGGAACTACAGGTTGGGGGTATTGTTTCCGCACGGACACATGTGTTGACGGTACCTACTGTGTACCTACTGTGTGTTCCCCCTTTCACTTTCTCTTATCATCTCATCCTGCAACCCGACAGCATGTCGATTTCTGCTCCCCAATAAAGAGAGATTTGCACCTCCGATGCACCGCCTCCGTCTCCCTTCTCTCGGCACTACAACGTTATCTAATTGTACTTAACTCTCTTAATACTAGTAGTTTCTCTACAGTATTTGTACACGTTTCTCTCCTAACTCACAGTACTGAGGATAAGTATGATTGTTAAATCTGCATCTCCGCTGAGGCTGTTAAATGCATGAATCACTCTTTCTCCCTGAAGTCAAAGAGGCAGAAGTCACGTGTTGTTCTTGTTTGCATCTGTCTTGTCACACAGTGATTCCAGATCAATGAAGCATTTTATTACAACACTGGACCAGCAGCACACCTCTTTTGATTCAGTCCAACTTCTGAACATTTTCATGAGAAACTGCACTTTTTGGGGAGAAAATATAGTTTTCTTGCATTTTTTTCCTTTTTATATATATACTGTATAATAAATAATATGAACGCAATAAACCGTATTTAACTGTGTCTTAATGTACATTATTCAATTTCATATTGTGTTCTTGTATATATCATATTCTATTTATATTTATATAGACTTCTTGCACTATTTTTTATTTTTGTATTTTATATGCATTGTTGGAGGAGCTCAGAGGCCTGTACTACGAAGCCGGATTTTCTCTTAGCGAGGTAACTTCAGGTAAAACTCTGGCTTTCCGGTAATGTAATTAAAGTCAGATCGTGTCTTGGACGGGGCAGTGATTTCATAAACCTGTTAATGTACGCATTCAAACACTTGTTCTGTTACCAGCTGTATTCACCTTGCAGGTGCAGCTATGTGGCTTTGATCCTGGATAAAGTGTTTAAGTCATGGATGTTTAAAGTTTAACTTCTTCATATGTCTAATATTATAGTTCACTTTTCATTCAGGAAGTATGACGCTGCGCTGTCAGTACGCTTGTCCATGTTTGAGATTGGTCGAATGCTCCAAATACCTCCCCTTTCATGTGAACGCGCACCTAACTAGATAGGACACGGCTGGCTTGAGCGATCCACTTGATAACCAGCGTCGTAGTACAGCTTAGCGAGAGCGCGTTTGTTTTGGATTGGGTAAGCCGGGTAACTCAAACATATCTAGGTTAGGTTGAACCGGCTTTGTAGTACAGGGGCCGTTCTCATTTCATCAAATTCCCCTCCTCGACTCCTATCCTCGTGTCTTAGTCCCGCCCACAGGAGATGCGAGCGGAGGAGCCGAGGAGGGGAGCCGAGGAGAGAGGAGGGGAAGCAGCAGGCGGTTAGAGAAATGAGAACTCCTCTCCTTTCATTTTAAAGAGACGTCCATTAAAGCTCCCATGTCATGCTTTTCCGGTTATTACCCGTCCCCTTGTGTGTTATGAAGGTTTTTATGCATGTAAACGGTGTGCAGAGTCAAAACCCTCAAAGTACACCCTGTAGCGAGTAAAACTCTAACACAGAAAATACCTCCCCAAAACGCCTCGTTGGAGATACGTCACTGCCCATTTGATTCTTGCGGGTACCGCATGATGTCATGCGGTACCCGGAACGAAATGGACCAATCCCGAAGAGCTATGGCCACACCAGCAGCGGCGTGTTCCTCCTCCAGAGGTTCGAAGAACCGGCATTTCACAGACGAAAGCTTCCAAAACATTGCCCAGTTTGAGGCCGGATATGCACAGCTTGTTTGGACCGTTTGGAGCAGGGGAAGATCTGGGTATACAACCTGTAAGTTTGCATTGTTATTTGTGTATTTATCAAACAAGACTGTTTAAATGTGTAAACTGTGTTGGACTGCTAAGCCATTGACACAGTGCTAACTAAGTTGCTAGAGTTTCCATATATCAACTCTAATATCAGCAGATGGCCTTGCATACATGTATCTCATAGCAGGAGAATGTCTGCATTCACACACAAAATACCTATTGGCAGTATACTGCGGGTGATTTGCCGGTCAGTCGCGAAACGTAATTACATTATAGCTGGCGTAGCGATCTAACACACGGAGCTAGAGCTAGTTTCGGTCAGAAAAACATTTTTGTGATGCTACGTTGCTAGCGTTTAAATATATCAACTACAATGTCAGCAGATGGCCTTACATGTTTGTCATGGCAGGAGAATGTCTGCAGTCACACACACGGAATACTCATACAGTATACTGTACTGTTATTTACCGTACATTGTGACCGTACATATACTGCATGTAGCTAACGAGGCTAGCTGTATGCTAGCGCAAAACAATGTATTCATGCAAGTTACATTGTATGGTAGCAGAATACCCGTATACGATTGCAATTATAAACACGTTATTGCTAGCCTAATATGAACCACTAGCTTTTGTTTCATAGTAGTTTTATTACACTGCATTATAGTTGCCTTTCCTCCAAGCTAACGTTCATATCGTGTTAGCTACCAAGGTAAACAAAGCTAGGTTAGCATATTAGCAGGCAAGCTGTTCATTACACAACTACTACTAACTAATCTAAAACAACTAAGTTTCTCTAATATTTTGTGATTTGCATTTGATTTCGTCCAGCCAGATCCTGGCGGACAATCCATGACGGGGAAGGGATTCTACTACTACTGAGGGTGCTAAAAGGCACCGCACCGCACCGGCTGTGCGCAGGCAAGATGCGAGGAGGAGGAATGAATGATATACCGTGTGTATATATGTATATTTATGTTCATTTTGTACATTTCTAAAAATAAAGTTTAATGGAAATACTTAGTAGGCCTATCCTTTCTTCCCTGAATTCATATATAGCAAACCATGATTTGATTTCTCATCAAACAGTAGTAGTTTATAACGGGTAAAAATAACTTACTCTTTGTTATGAGAGTAGCTCGTAGGCCACAACGGAAAGACAAGGAGACATACACGAGTTTACAAAACCACGGCACATTTATTGTGGTAAATGCAAAGATAGGTGGTTGAGAGGATCGCAGAGTTAGTCTTCCTGCAGCCGCTTTGGAGAGAGACTGTGTCCGGAGGTGTCCGGAGGTGTCCGTGATCGCGCTGATTACCCTCTTCAGCTCCACCCCATCGTAAGACAAAGGCCCTGGGGCCGTCACACTCTTCTATAACAACAGTTAAAAATATATATGTATATAAAATATACCGCTGTACCGACGCCATGATAAGACTGATGTTACGCTGAGAGCAGCCGGGAAAAGCACTGACATGGGCGCAGCCTCTCTGGTGGTTGACTAATCAGAACGAGTGGCCGAGCTGACCAATCGGAGCACACTAGGCTCACAGGGAGGGGGGGGCAAGAGCTCCAACGAGTCGTTTAGTGGAGAAAGTGAATACTGCTGAATACACATGCTTGACAGAGATGCTGTATGCGAAACCAATGTGAGTTTGGAAAATTGCACAGTATAAATCTATTTAGTATACCTCAACAATGTAATTATGATCAGTGGAAATGGCCATGACATGGGCCCTTTAATGATGACAGGAGGCACAGCAGCCCTCTGTCTGATGGACAGATGTGTTCATGATGACTTATATATTTACTTTGATTCATTCACAGTGCGGTATAATGAGACAATAACAGGCTACAGATGCGGACACACACACACACACACACACACACACACACACACACACACACACACACACACACACACACAGTTATATAAATGTATACAATTTCAGAATCAAACAGAGCACTCTCATAATAACGTAACACTAGATATACCTAGATAGACTGGATATACCCCCCCCCCTCTCCCCTCTCTGGTCGCTACAATGAGGAAAATAAATTACGGGCCAAAAGTTTTATTTACAAGTATTAAAAGTAAGCAGAGGACACCAAACCAACTGAGACCTGTCTGTCCGCTGCATCTACGCACACACTGTACCACACACACCTACACACTGTACCACACACACCTACAGCTCCTAAAGCATAATCAGGCTACAGCCGTTGTGTATTTTATTTTGTGAAGCACTAAATGGTCTTAGAAAAATATGGACTCTTTGTTTGTAGATATCTACTAAACTATAGCAAATAAAGAGAGTAGGCCTGTTATACTGAGTGATATATATTATACACACTGCTCTGCTTTCTGCACGGACCTCACAGCTGTTCTCTCTGTAAACATCGCGTCGCGATGAAAGCAGTTAATAAAACAATATCCAGGGGATGCATGCAGAGCTGTCATTGGCTGAGATCAGTCCGGCCGTGCGTCACGACACTTTGAAACATCTCTGTTGTCGGAAATGCATCCACGAAGGAGCCGTGGAGGACCCATCAGTGTATCCTCGGTTAGAGCTCCTCCAGAGAGCCTCCTCGACGCTCGATCCTCGGTCCTCGAAGTGCATTTAGAGAAATGAGATGTCCTTCAACATGGCGCGCTGAAATTCATTTCCGGGACACTACCGGAGGACCGAGGAGTCGAGGAGGGGGAATCTCAGAAATGAGATACGGCCACAGAGGGATTAGCTCTGGTGCAAACATAAACAACTTAAGACCAAGACCAAACATGTACTTGAAAAAAACTCAAGATAATACCAAAGGAAGGCCAATACGGGTAGCTGCTCTCAGGAGGGAGTCCAGGAGAAAAGAGAGAAGGAAAGTGGCCTTCGCTCAGAATCTGTGTTACCTTCAAGGACAAGGGGAAACATGTACAGGTAACAAAACAGAGGACTAGACTTCAACTGTCACACACACTCCACAAGGTTTTGCCTCAGCTCAAGTTGAGCTCTCTGTAAAGATACGGGTCCAGCTCACGGAGAGCGTCGATCAGAACCCTGCTGGCTGCAGCTCCTTTTTTTCGCACCACGTCCAGCACCTCAAGTGCTCCGTCATTTCGGGATTTGGTTCTGGCCGACTCCATTTCAGATTCACTGATAACTCCAGACTCAAGGAGTTTATCCAGAAGGTCCTTCAGGACAGGTGGAGACACTCTTTCTTTGAACTCTGTCCGAACTGAGCGCAGCCTCTGGTCTGCTGGGACTCTGCTCTCTGCTGGGACGCTGCTCTCTGCTGGGACGCTGCTCTCTGCTGGGACTCTGCTCTCTGCTGGGACTCTGCTCTCTGCTGGGACATTTCTCTGGGGTAATTGCCGCCTTGGACCTGGAAGATAAACAGGGGGAAATGGGCTCAGGGCTTAACAGGTTAAAATGTATAAAATCTCCTACACCTATGTTATTCATGTTTTGTTGAGTTGTGTACGTACATTATCCCAAATGGTTCAGAGAGATGTGTAATGTTAAAGGTAACAGTACGTTCATCACGGTCTCCTGTAATGGCGGCGTATCCAATTAACCATTAGAAGATGAAGACTACAACTCCCATGATGCCACGCTGTTTCACCACCACACAACACTAGTTTTTACTATAGTTTAGGAATATTACAGGTTGTGTGTTTAATGTCGTAATGATGCGCTGCCATGGAGCCTTAATAGAGAAGGCTATGAGATGGAGCTTTATGGCGCGTTTCCACTACACGGCCTCGCTCGGCCCCGCTCGGTATGGCTGGGCCTCGTTAGGACTGGCTCACTTTATGGCGCATTTCCATTACAGTTTAGGAACTGGGGCAGTAACTATAGTAACGCAGTGTAGGCGGAGCCGTGACGTGATCTTCAGAGGACCCCAGAAAAACAACACAGCCGTTAGCTGTTAGCACTCAGAGCTCACAGCTCCTCATATATGTTCAGAAACTAGACAAAAGTTAAACAAGTACAAACCACAGACTGCCTGTGTCATGGTGAGTACAGTCACTGCTTTATTTATGTCTGTAGGCCGTTGTTGTGAGTGTGGACGGTCGGAACATATACTGCGTTAGCTTAGCCAATCTCCATTTAGAAAACAAGCATTTTAAAAGGTTTTTCCCCTGCCGTCTGTCTGCAGACTTGACAAAGCATTAATTCATGGTTTTTACTAACCGGTATCAGTATGTTGTTACTTCGGCATCATTTTGAAACGTGTATTACAATTAAATCACGGTCAAATATGTCCATCTTGTTGTAGTTGTTGCCCCCTTGCCAGCGACGCTCTCTCTAGTTTAGCTTACTCAGCCCGACTCAGCCTCGTTGTCTCTGGCCCTGGACCCACGATTTTATGAGGCCAGAAAAACTGTGAATTAGGACCCGCCGGCCGGTACTAGGCCAAGTGGAAACGCAACCAAAGACGGGCCGCTGACGTCACAGCCCTCTTAAACCGGGCTGCGGGCTGTAGTGGAAACGCGCCATTAGAGTTATCCAGTCTATCACTGGGTCTGAGCTCAGGTGGAGTCTTTACCTTCCAGTGATACGGGACAAGACCAGACGACGTTTCCATCTTGGTCCTTGACCTTCAACACCACTTTCTCTGTGCTCGTCGTCAGGTAAACTAGAAATGTCGGATGGTAATTTGGTCCAAACCTGGATTCAAATTTTTTACTCTGAAAACCAGAAGAAGAAGTTAAAAGTTGATCTGGATCTTTCCTGATTGTGGATCCACATGCAGATAAATGTGTGTAAATGATCATTGTGTTTCTTTAGAAGAGTATCAGTGACTCACCTCAGGGTGTGTGAGGAAGCCCTCAGGTTCACAGTGCACACTGTATCTGTGATGAATGTGCAGCTCACAGTCGGAGGAGAGTGTGATGTTCACAGCACCTCTGTGTTTTTCAGCAACCTTCAGTAACAGGACATTTTGATCAATTTAAAACAACATGTTGACAGACCTGCTCTACAGAGATATAAGAATTACAATCAATTAAGAATAACAGTGTGTGGACATATTGTGTGTAGATTAATTAAAGTGTATAGGTTAGATACTTTTTGATGAAATTCCACTCCAACACATTCTCTATATATTTATTAGGGTTGTCAACATTAAAGGTAGGGTAGGTAAGTTTGAGAAACCGGCTCGAGATCGCTAGAATTTGAAAATACACAACCGGAGAAAATCTGCCACTTCCTTACAGAGCCCCTCCTCCAACACACACGAACGCGCACATGACCAATGAGGGCACGAGATAAGTTTGTGCACAGATGGAAGGCTGACAGGCAGGTAGGCCATCCAGTTATTTTAGCCGGGCCGGCTAAAATGATTGGTCGTGCTTTTTACAGTACTACGGCTTCCACAGATGATATTTTTTTATGGATTTTTTGTCAAAGCACTTCAGATATTCATTGCTATCGGGATGTTAAGAGCATTCCATGGAATATAACAAAAAGTGTATCTCGAGCCGGTTTCTCAAACTTACCTACCCTACCTTTAACGTGTCAAAACTCGCGATTAATCTGGAAACCTTGACGCGTTAAAAGAATTAATGCATATTAATCACATGACCAATTCCTGTATGCGATCACACAAGATGCCGGCTCTAATCCCTAAAAACTACCAGAGGGTTGGCTAGCCATGGCTAACATCACTATGATGTCTAATGGAAGATCAAGGACAAAACTCCCCAGTTTTAATACTTAATGTCCGGCTCTGACCTGAGGACAAGCAAAGGATGTTGTAAAGCCACAACGAACCTTAACGGCACAAAACCCACGGTTTAAGGACTTTTTGCTCCACTGATCTAAACAAATACTCCCCGTCGTCGAGACGTCTTGCCTGGTGGAAATTAGCAAATAGTTAATTCCTTTTCTTTATTCTTCTATTCTATATTTTAGCTCTCAATAACACACACACACACACACACACACACACACACACACACACACACACACACACACACACACACACACACACACACACACACACACACACACACACACACACACACACACACACACACACACACACACAGAGAGAGATATAAGAGCCCCCTACTACTTCAACAACTACTATGACTGTTACTGCTCCTCCTACTGCAAGTACTACTACTACTACTACTACTTATACTACTAACACAACTACTACCACTGCTACTACTACTCATACAACTACTACTACTACTACTACTACTACTACTACTACTACTACTACTATTACTACTAACACAACTACTACCACTGATAATACTGCTCATACAACTACTACTACTACTAATACTACTACTACTACTACTACTACTACTACTACTACTACTACCACAACTACTACTACCACAACTACTACCACTGCTACTACTACTTATACTACTACTAATACTACTACTAACACAACTACTACCACTGCTACTACTGCTCATACAACTACTACTACTACTACTACTACCACAACTACTACCACTGCTACTACTACTTATACTACTACTAATACTACTGCTACAACTACTTATACTACCACCGCTACTACTCATACAACAACTACAACTACTACTACCACCACCACTACTACCACTACTACGCATACAACTACTACTAACATTACATTACATGTTACTTGTTAGACGCTTTTATCCAAAGCGACTTACATACTCAATACTGTGGACAATCCCCACAGGAGCACTTTGGGGTGAAGTGTCTCAGGGACACAACGACATGCTGACTGCAGTGGGGTTTGAACCTGTGTTGAGATCTCCATATCAGGTTGAATAATTAAAACGAAAGTTAGTTATAATCAAATATAATCAATTATATTCTTGTATAACCCACAATGAAAATGCTTCATATTTTATGATTTTCTATATTTACAGTATAAACAAAGTGGTTTGTTAAATTGAGTGTGTAAGGCCTATAATGGTTTATGGGTGTCACTGATAAGAAAGAGGCAGTTTCTTCTCTCTCCCCTCACAGCAGTACACAGGGAGGGGGGCTCCTGACTTAAGGAGAAATACATTGAGGCCCTAAAAAGGTGGTTATGTCATAGCCGAGAATAATATTTTGCAAGTCCTGCAGAGTAGGGGTCATGTCCTGTTTACACAAACATGTGTCTTATGCCAGAGCCATAGAATATGTCTGGTCATGTCCAGTCCTGTACATCAGAGGCCATGCCCAGTTTCCACAAATATGGGTATGGAGGAGGTGTCTTTGGGTTTTTCTATCCTATTTTCGAGCATAAAGACACTGGCAGATGGGGAGGAACTTTTCTTTTTGGAGAGAGCGAGAGAGAGGGGGGGGATCCCCTGGTATACTCTCTCTCGGTAACGCTCTCTCCCTGAGAGCTGGGTTTTTGCTCTCGGTAAGGTTCTCTCAAACTTGGTAAATATCTCTCGAATTTCTTTGTTGAAAGTGGAGGGAATTTCTGGGTTGAATGAGTGGAATGAATTGCTATGTGTTTTTGAGTATTAGGCCTCCTTCACACGTTTGCGTTTATGCACAGTATGCGTATTCATAAAAGTCTTCCGTTCACATGCATTCGTTTCATTTAACGTGTCTGTTCAAACGAGACCGCTGGAAACGCTGTAGTACATATGCCGGGACTGTAAGTGGCGCTGTAACTTCCGCCAAAATACACCAAAAGCAGCGAAGAAGAGCAGCCTGGAGCAGCCCCGCTGCAATGTTGCCATGGCTACCCTTCTGTTTATGCCCCGCGGTGTATTTAGCAACATGTAGTTCATGTAATTCTCCATGTCCACTTGTTGCTGATGGTTGTGGTAGAGGAGCTGTAGATTTTGCACTAATATCTGTAGCATGGTCAGTAGCAGTAGCACTAGCAGTAGCTACTGACAGGAGGAAGTGTGTGTGGCGATTGCTGGTATTCAGCGGGATATAGTAATTTCCTCAGCAAATGGATAAATGCAACGGGGAAGTTAACTGAAAGAAACCGAATCTGTGGATATTGCATCGACCGACCATGAAGCACGTCTCCGTGGAGAGGACGCGCTCAGAAAGAGAGATATTCTCTACAAACACCGGGTGAGATCGCTCCTCTGGGACACGCCGGTCCTCGTGTTTCCTTTTTTTGTGTGGATTATAAACATTTCTCTTTTTGCCGCCGACGGGCGCAGGAGCAATGAACAATAATGGCCTGGATTAGGCAGTAAAGACAAGTTTGGTGTATCGCAGAGCGGACTTTTTAATTTTGTTTGTGTTGTTTGGCTGGAAAATTGTCAATATAATGGATCAATGCATGAAATCTGACTCTGTTTATTTTGTTAAGGAGTATATTGGGCGTTAACAATTCTGGTTTGCCTTTTATAATATTATTTCATTCAAGAACCCCTTGTGCGTTTAATTAACACAGCTATTTTTGATAGTTGCTACAGCAGTGAGCAGGAGAGGCGGGGAAAGGTGGGGCTATCTCTATTTTTTCAGGAAATATTCGTATCGAGGTGATTACACGGACTCGGTTGACCCCCCAGAGCGTTTCGTTTGCAAATCTATCCACCTTGGGACCCGTTATCGTTTGTGGGGTCAGTTTCTATCGGCCTCGTGTAAATAATAGGGCTATACGCACGCGAAACTATGCAGATACAAGCAGTTTTCTCCTCGTGTAAACGGCGCCTTAGTACCCGCCACCTGTGAGGATCTTCCTCCGAATACATGCGGGATATAGGTGTGTGTTTGTGAATGTTAGTACCCGCCATCTGTGTCGGAAAAAAGGTATGGAATTGATGTGAATTGATTTGTTGAATGAAAGTTTGAATGTGCTTTTTATTATCACTGGTCTTTTATGAGGAAAAGCCTCTAAATTCTATCGGGAGATTTTAAATGTCCAACTGAATTGGGCAGTTGAAGTTACAAATTATGGTAATAAATGTAAAACTGTGAATTAAAGTTTCATATTAGAACATGATCACAGCGTGATAGGTTTAGTATGATTATAATGTTGTAACGAGAGACGGTAAAAACCCTGTATAAGTTTGGACCTATTTTTCTTCAAATAAACTGATCCCACCTTTTGGATTGGGACAACTTAAAAGACATCTGCGCTCTCCTCTCCTGCTTGAAAGGTAAGATTGCACACTGCCACACTCACACTTAGGTAGGGCCACACCTCATTTACTGATATCAAAATCCTTCGGGATCGCTTAAACAGATTTAGGGGGGTCGTCTGAATTGAAACAGCAGTTAATTGAACCTGGTTCTTCGGGGAGTTAATAGAGGTGAGATCTTGCTGATCGTTGGTGGATCTGAGCCAAGCAGTAAACTTACATAGACTCAATAACTTCGGTTAGGTTCATTAGTAGGTCTGAGTAATTTGCCAGAATAAATTATCAGGTCCTCCCGACTCTTACACCTGATAGAACACTACTACTACTACTACTACTACTACTACTACTACTGCTACTACTACTACTACTACTACTACTACTACTTATACTACTAACACCACTACTATTAATACAACTACTACTCCTTTTACAGCTACTTATACTACAGCTGCTACTACTACTACTTTTACTTATAGTATACTACTACGTAAAATGCAAATGTCAAACACTCACTACAGCAGTTGATGGACTGCTTAGCAGAGATAAAATCCTGGCTGAGCAAAAACTTTCTCAACCTCAACGAGAGCAAGACTGAGGTCATATTTTTTGGACTGCAACCTCCAGCCTCTCCGGTTGATATTCTGGGCTCTCTCAAAAAAAACATCCTCCCCTCGGTCATGAACCTTGGAGTGACCTTCACTAGCACTTTTAAATTCGACAAGCAGGTCAGCACCGTAGTCAAATCCTGCTTTTTTAAAATAAGACTATTGGCCAAAACCAAGTCGTATTTATCTTTTAATGATTTAGAAAGGGTTATTAACGCCTTTGTTACCTCGAGACTGGATTACTGCAATGCTCTGTATGTGGGTATGGACCAGGCCTCAATTAAACGCCTGCAGCTAGTCCAAAACGCAGCTGCACGTCTGCTGACTGGCCACAAAAAGCGTGACCACATCACCCCTATTTTGGCCTCACTACACTGGCTTCCAGTTCGGTTCAGAATTGATTTTAAAATCCTTTTATTTGTTTTTAAAGCACTAAATGGGCTGGCTCTGGCCTATATAGCTGAACTCCTCCAGCGCTACACCCCAGCCAGAGCTTTAAGGTCTGCTGACCAGCTGCTGCTGGTAGTGCCCAAGACCAGGCTCAAAACCCGAGGGCACCGAGCCTTCGCAGCAGCTGGCCCCAGGCTCTGGAACACTCTGCCCCTCCATGTGAGGTCGGCCCAGACCCTAGGGGGTTTTTAAATCTACTCTAAAAACACACTTCTTCTCTCTGGCTTTCTAGTCAGAGCGGAGCACGACTCCTGACTTTTCCTTGTGTTTTTATTTTTATTTTTGTTTTTTATATATATCTGTTGTAATTTATTGTCGTTTATTGTGATTATAGTAATGTGTTTTTATTACATGTACAGCACTTTGGCTCGACCAAAAATCGCTTTTAAATGTGCTTTATAAATAAAACCTGATTTGATTTGATTTGATTTACGTGCATTTCATATCTAACTCCTTCAGCCTACTTTCAGCTACAAAAACCATTCAACTACAACATTATTCAGCTATTTCAGGATATTTAGGCTATACATGTTCTTGTTTATTAAGCTTCATCACTATTTTTCCTACTCTTCCAGTTTAAAATGTCACTGTTAAGTTTTCAACAAAGTCAGTGCAATGCATTTGAGTTATAACACTTACTTGGTTTTTGTAGCGAAAAGCAGCTAGTAACCATTCAACTAATAACATATTCAGATTTTTCTGCAATTCAACAACAAATGTGTGCAGCTTACAGCATTCACATGCATTTTCAGCAGGAAATGCATTTTCTAGTTAGTATTAAAGTAACTAGTAGTCCATCCGCCTAGAGTTGGTGCTGACCGCAGAGAAAACGTGCTTAAAGACTTTAAAAGAATGAAACTATCGTGCTATTACATTACATTACATTTAGCTGAGGCTTTTATCCAAAGGGACTTACAATAAGTGCATTCGACCAAGAAGATACAAACTTGAAGAAAACAGAATCATATAAGTACATCAGGTTTCATAGAGCCAACACATTTCAAGTGCTACTCAACTGACTTTATCAACTGCTATCATATTATCTCTCTCAGTAGGGGGCCTCTACTTCTTAATGTCTTTTTTAACGTATTTTAAAGTATTGAGGTAAACTTCGAGTTTGATAACCAAAGTAGAGTGTGGCACTCCATGTTAATAATGAAGAACTAATTATTAAATCTGCACAAGCAATATACACAAAAGATTCAGTTCAGATCTTAATCTTCTCCCAGCACGAGAACGTTTGCGAAGAGGAGCAGTGTGTGTGGAAACAGGTTTAAAACCAGTGTTTAGTCTGATGGTGAGCACATTACCTCCTCCACAAGGACGTTGTTCTGCAGAAGATGTACATCCAGTATTTGGTCCACTCTGCCCGGGGGTCGTAGGAACACCAGAATTTGGCCATTTATCGGCCACCCTAGAAACCTTTTCAATGGATCGAAGATAATGCCGAGGAGAGAGAGGTGAGGCACCTTCACCACCACGTGAGTGCGTGTGACCTCCAGCGGCTCCAAGATGCTCAGGCCTTCATCAGTGATGTGGACGACAGACAACAGGCCGTCCAGGAGCAGCGCTGTGGAGCAAAGAGCTGGTCATCTGTTGCTTTGCTGCTGAAACAGCTTCATCATATTCAATGACACTTTAGTTCAGAGCTAATGTTCACCTGATGTCATTCACTTTGGAGCCTCACTAGGATGTACCAGTTTATATCCTCCACCTTTTATTTTAATGTTTAATTATTGTTCTGTCCCCCTGTGATCTTTCTGGAGGTGAGCATGCGTAATTATTTTCTAATTTAAAGACTGCTGAGATGTTTGTAATCTGCAGCCAGAACAGCTGGACTGTGTTCTGTCTCATGTCTGAGTGACTCTCTAGACGTGTGAAGAGTTTTCTAAAGCTTTCAGGGCGTAGAAAGTCTAACTTATAAATGTTGTTGTCTGTTGTTTTGTTTTGTACATGCTTCAGTCAGACTGACAATGTAGAGAGCAGAAAGAGCAACAGATGGATAACAAAGTAATAATTAATCAAACTGCTAGCTTAGAGTGAGTTAGCGTTGAGCAGAGTTGGGTGTAACGCGTTACAAAGTGCAGTGCTGCATAAACATGGCAGAGTCAGCGATAACTTTCGAGGGGTGGAGGTATGCCCATTATTTTGAGTTCGTCCGAAGAATAGACAGGAATGTGACGGTGAGGTGCAAACTGTGTCCAGGCCAGAAGCTGTTATCCACTGCTGCAAACACCACGTCAAACCTCAACAAACACCTGCAAAGAACACATGCTAAGGTGAAGCTAATAGTTAAGGACCCCCGAACCCAGAGTGAGGATGTTGTGAGTGCGCCGCCGCCGACTCCGAAGCAGCACAAATTAGAATTTGGAGGACCGGTAACCAAAGCTTGTAGCATCCTTCATAGTAGAGGAAATGTTGCCCATTTGCACAGTGGAATCACCATCGCATCGTTCAGAGATATACTGCGCAAAATACAGATAGATCTGCCAGCAGGGACGGGCGGGCCGGCCCTGCGAGTAAAGTAACGAGTTACTTTATGTAGAGAGTAACGAAGTAGTGTAATATATTACGTTTTTTTAGTAACGACCGCATCTCTGGCGTTGAGTTAGCACTGTTAGCAGCTAAACATGCTGTGGACTGACAGGTCACAGTTTACATGTCTTTAATATCCAGTGAGGAGACTGCAGAGGCCCAAAGACACTCCAACTCAGTATTTAGAGCTGCATTGCATCGTCTGCTTCAATAATGATGTCATGAAACACATCGACTAAATGGATGTTTTAATGATTTCATTCTTCTTCTTTTGGGGACACGACTATTTTGAATGTAAAGAACAGATTTCGTGTCTGAATCATCTTATCTTTGTTAAACTAGTTTAATAAAGCTGCTTCATAACTTCTGAACGGTAGTGGATATTATAAGGTGCTAAACATTATATAAGTGTATTTGTTAACACTAGATGTCTTTACCTTCCTCTGTCTCACTGTGCGGCAGGTGGAGCCGGCAGACGGCAGCTTCAACAGAACTCTTCACGTCGAACAGCGGCCCTGCTGCCTGCTTGCCAGCTGATTGGAGGAGACTCTCATCCCAAGGGACCGTCCTGTACAGAAGCTCCGCCTCCTGAGCCATGACGAACACCAGGCCACTCGAAGCACACTGGAACTCACCTTGACCAGGACACCGGAACCTGTAGACACACAAGAGACAAGTTACTACAAGAAGCCTTCACTGGCCTGTGTTCTGACTGACAGGTGTTCATCCAGCTGGATCTGACCTGGAGGAGGGTTTGTTGAAAGATCTGAAACACCTGATGGTTACAGGAACATCACTGAAGATGTGTCCACATGCATCAGGATGTGTGTGTACACTTTAATTCATTTAACAAAATGTCTAGTCCAGCGAGGATCTAGACTGGTACAAGAAAACAATCCTACACACAGAGGCATTATTTTATTCATGTCTGCTGGAAAGAGATTGGATGCAAAACCTCAAGGTGAAAGACATGACATCAAACACAATGAAATGAATATATGTGTTTAAAATAATATTTGGTCATGTTATAGGGTTACCTGTATGAAGACTCAGGTGTGTGTTCAGGTGAGAAGGATTCAGGAGCCTGGAACAAACAAAGTTATTTATTTTATTAGAAATCAAGTTAAGTTCTAGCTTCAACTCTGTACAGCTGCTCCTCTCTCACCTTTGTGTCTGTCTTCACTTCCTGTTCCACATCGGAGTCACCTGATCGAGAGAAGAGGTGAGAAAAATAATAATAAAACAATAATAATAATTATTGTACTATAAATACCTTTTAAGATCAGATTTAATGTACAATATCTTGATGAATGGAGGACATGGTTTCAGTACTCACAGGTCTTCTGGATCGTGGATCTGATCGTCTCATGATATCTGATCCTGTGGGGATGAACACAATCCAACAGTTTGAGATCCAGTTTAAAATAAGTGTTTGTTCTTTGAGTCAGCTTCAGAGTCCTGATCTCATGCTTCACATCCCATCATATCCTCTCTGCAAACACTACGACTGCCTGCCACAGCTCTCAGCTGCATTACAGAGTTAACTAGGCATTAGTCCAGGAACAAAACAACTTCATAGAAAAAACAAACAGACTCACTTTTTAACTGTAAAATGTGTCTGTTAATGAGTTGCAGCTGACTGAACAACACATTCTCACTCACAACTCGGCCTATGTTGACGTTGTGTCAGGGTCCCTGTCGTCACTTTCCAACGCAAGGGGGGGCCCTTTAGCGTTGAGTTTCAACTCAGGTGTTTAAAGGATCAGAGTGAATTATGCAGAGTAGGATTTGTCTGTTAACAAGTTGCTCCTGACTGAAATGTGGCTTTGCATTGTCAGCTTGCATTATATTGTTCTTAGGAGAACGCAAGAAAAGAAACATGAGATGAACAAAAGGAGAAACTGCAGATAAATGGTAACATCACTGATGTGTTGTGCTAAGCTAGGCTACGCCTGGAAGGTGGAACTGGAGAGATTCCCCAGTGAGAGGAACACATCCACCTCCCTGTGTTCAATACAATCCTGCTGAACCAGCAGAGACTGAGTCGACCCCTTACTGACCTGAGAGTCTCCAGTCTGCAGTCTGGACTCTCCACAAGATCTCTCAGCAGCTCCACTCCTGAATCCTGAAGAGCGTTGTTGCCACCCAGGTCCAGCTCTCTCAGATGGATGTTGGACTTCAGAGCTGAGATCAGAGCAGAACAGCTGATCTCTGACAAGCTGCAGCGACTCAGACTGAATAAAGAACACATGATGTAAGTTTAGAAAACAATGTTCCTGATTGAAATAATGAAAGGTTTAATAATCTGATTATAGCTGGAGAAGTAGAGAATGTAGACGTTTATAAAGTGGACACTCCCGACAGGTTAAAAACAGTAAGATCCAAAAAGTGAAAAGAGCTCTCATTAATATGAAAGACAACGTTCTTCACCTTCAATAAAAAGTGGTGACTTCACATCATAAACTCTGCTCCTTCTACACTAACTCGTGATGTGCAGCCAGACAAATCAAAACCCACAGAAACTGATTCAACTCAAGATCACAGAGTTTACAAAGAAGTCAGGATGAATTTAGAAGAAATGTGATCAAAATAAATAGAGAATATTTATTTTAGGAATAGTGGAAACATAGATCACAGCATCTTCAGTTTAAACTATTCAGTCAGTTTGAGCATCATGCAGCTTCAGAAACATGTTAGAAACAGCAACAACTGAACGTATTTGTTAGTGTTTGATAGTTTTAATAGAAATATGTAATTATTGTATTCATGTGTTTATAATGTTATTTATTTAAAAACATGACGGAGAATAAAAGATGAATTCCAGGTTTTTAAAGGTTCACAGTGAATTATGCAGAGTAGGATTTTTCTTTAACATAGCTCTGCTACAGTCAATGAGCTAAACCACAGAATAAGAAAGTAGACTTTAGCATTAAGATGCTCAGTGAGGATCAGGATCATATCAGCCTGATGTCTGCAGCTCAGAGTCAACACAACTCTCACATATTCATCTCAGCACAGAAGATAGAGATGGAGAACTGACCTGAGAGTCTCCAGTCTGCAGTCTGGACTCTCCACAAGATCTCTCAGCAGCTCCACTCCTGAATCCTGAAGAGCGTTGAAACTCAGGTCCAGATCTCTCAGATGGATGTTGGACTTCAGAGCTGAGATCAGAGCAGAACAGCTGATCTCTGACAAGCTGCAGCTCACCAGACTGAATAAAGAACACATGATGTAAGTTTAGAAAACAATGTTCCTGATTGAAATAATGAAAGGTTTAATAATCTGATTATAGCTGAAGAAGTAGAGAATGTAGACGTTTATAAAGTGGACACTCCCGACAGGTTAAAAACAGTAAGATCCAAAAAGTGAAAAGAGCTCTCATTAATATGAAAGACAACGTTCTTCACCTTCAATAAAAAGTGGTGACTTCACATCATAAACTCTGCTCCTTCTACACTAACTCGTGATGTGCAGCCAGACAAATCAAAACCCACAGAAACTGATTCAACTCAAGATCACAGAGTTTACAAAGAAGTCAGGATGAATTTAGAAGAAATGTGATCAAAATAAATAGAGAATATTTATTTTAGGAATAGTGGAGACATAGATCACAGCATCTTCAGTTTAAACTATTCAGTCAGTTTGAGCATCATGCAGCTTCAGACATTTTTTAAAGAAAAAGCAAAACCTGAAATGATTGGTTAGTGTTTAATAATGTTGATATAAATGTGTATTAACTGTATTAATCTGTTTATTATATCATTTATAAAAGAAACCGGATGGAGAATATAAGATGAATTCCAGGTGTTTAAAGGATCAGAGTGAATTATGCAGAGTAGGATGTGTCTGTTAACAAGTTGCTCCTGACTGATATGTGGCTTTGCATTGTCAGCTTGCATTATATTGTTCTTGGGAGAACGCAAGAAAAGAAACATGAGATGAACAAAAGGAGAAACTGCAGATAAATGGTAACATCACTGATGTGTTGTGCTAAGCTAGGCTACGCCTGGAAGGTGGAACTGGAGAGATTCCCCAGTGAGAGGAACACATCCACCTCCCTGTGTTCAATACAATCCTGCTGAACCAGCAGAGACTGAGTCGACCCCTTACTGACCTGAGAGTCTCCAGTCTGCAGTCTGGACTCTCCACAAGATCTCTCAGCAGCTCCACTCCTGAATCCTGCAGATCGTTGTAACTCAGGTCCAGATCTCTCAGATGGATGTTGGACTTCAGAGCTGAGATCAGAGCAGAACAGCTGATCTCTGACAAGCTGCAGTTAAACAGTCTGAATAAAGAACACATGATGTAAGTTTAGAAAACAATGTTCCTGATTGAAATAATGAAAGGTTTAATAATCTGATTATAGCTGGAGAAGTAGAGAATGTAGACGTTTATAAAGTGGACACTCCCGACAGGTTAAAAACAGTAAGATCCAAAAAGTGAAAAGAGCTGTCATTAATATGAAAGACAACGTTCTTCACCTTCAATAAAAAGTGGTGACTTCACATCATAAACTCTGCTCCTTCTACACTAACTCGTGATGTGCAGCCAGACAAATCAAAACCCACAGAAACTGATTCAACTCAAGATCACAGAGTTTACAAAGAAGCAGCACCAGAGTCTGAATAAAGAACACATCATGTAAGTTCAGAGAACAATGGTCCTGCTTGAGAGAGTTCAAAGTCTCATCATCTTTTCAGACCTGGAGAGGGTTCAGATGCCAATGTCAAAAATGATGAAGATACTTTTAGAAATGTAATAGTAGATAACTATAAATGCATTGATAATGCATCAGAAGAACCTCCTTCATCTCCCTCACAGCTCATCAGTACTGACAGCATCTTCACTGACTCATGGAGCACAGTGAGAGTCTGTGGAAGCTCACACACTGTCCCCTCACACATTTACTTTCTCTGCTTTCTGTTATTCTTGTCAAATATTCAGCAATTTAGAAAGAAATGTGAACTTATTCAAATATCTTTGTACTCAGGCAAATGATGGAATTATAAATATATCAATTATAAATACAGTACAAAACCACATGAACTACAGCCAGTGATCTGACCTCAGAGTCTTCAGTCTACAGTTTGGACTCTTTAGTCCAGAACTCAGCTGCTCCACCTCTGAATCCTGCAGGTCTACATTCACCTCCAGCTCTCTCAGATCGGAGGAGTCGGACTTCAGAGCTGAGGCCACGACTTCCCAGTCTAAGAATCCACTGTCAGGAATTCTGTTAGAACACATATTACAGAATTTGTTTATATAACAAAAGAGGAAACAACATATTTACTTCATGCATTTGAGGAAAAACATTTTGAATCTCATGATCTGATTACCACTGGATGTTAGTCTATTTAATATTTGGTAGAGTGTGATCTGATCCCATGTCTGTCACCTCTTTGCTAGCTACCTTCTAGACTAGAGAAGACTAGAGTCAACATAAATCACATATTGCTCTGTGTCTAATTTAACGATAAAGAAACTGCAATCATTTCATAATAACTTTACTGCATTCAATGACATATGTAAAGTTATTCTGTATGTTCTGATCACATGTTGCTGTGATAAAACATCCTTCATATTATTTTGACAAGGAAAATGAAGAGAAGAAAAAACTGTAACATTTTAAAATGATTAGAATAATTGTATTAATTCAATTTTGCTCTCACAGTATGTGAAACAGCAACAAGTTGTATAGTGTGTTTATTTTAAAAACTAAAATCCTTATCTACACTAATCTATAAAGTGAATCACATCTGGACTCACACAGCCTCCCTGCAGTTCCTCACAGCTGGAATCAGTCTCCGTCGTCCCTCCTCTGATGTTTTGGACTTCTCCAGGTCCAACTCATCCAGAACCTCCTCTGACATCTCCAGCCTGTAGGCCAGAGCAGAGCAGTGGATCACAGAGAGTCTCTTCTCTGATCTGTTCTCTGACTTCAGGAACTCTGTGATCTCCTGATGTACTGAGTGGTCCTTCATCTCTGTCAGACAGTGGAAGATGTTGATGGTCCTGTCATCAGAGACTTCATCACTTCTCATCTTCTTCAGGTTGCTGATGGCTCTCTGGATGGTTTCTGGTCTGTTGTCTGTGCGACCCAGCAGGCCTCCTAAGAGTCTCTGATTGGACTCCAGAGAGAGGCCGTGGAGAAAGCGGACAAACAGGTCCAGGTGGCCATTTTCACTTCTGAGGGATTTCATCATGGCTCTCTTTAGGAAGACATCCAGGGATGGGTACTCCTGATCACTGCTATCACTGTTGTCATCGTCCAAGTCTCCCTGCAGGAAGTCCTTCAGTACCTCTGTGTCTCTGTTGGAGTAACAGTGCAACATGTAGACTGCAGCCAGAAACTCCTGAATGCTCAGATGAACAAAGCAGTAGACTGTTTTCTTGAATATCACACTCTCTCTTTTGAAGATCTCTGTACAAACTCCTGAGTGCACCAAGGCCTCGGTGACATCAAGACCACAGCGCTGCAGGTCTTCTTGGTAGAACATGATGTTTCCTTTCTCCAGATGTTCAAACGCCAGCCTCCCCAGCTTCAGAAGAAGCTCCCTGTCAGCCTCCGTCAGCTGCTGTGGACTCGTCTCATGTCCCTCTTCATACTTCTGCTTCTTCCTCTTGGTCTGGACCAGCAGGAAGTGTGAGTACATGTCAGTGAGGGTCTGGGGCAGCTCTCCTCTCTGGTCTGTAGTCAACATGTGGTCCAGAACTGCAGCAGTGATCCAGCAGAAGACTGGGATCAGACACATGATGTGGAGGCTCCTGGAGCTCTTGATGTGAGAGATGATTCTGCTGGACAGGTCTTCATCACTCCATCTCCTCCTGAAGTACTCCTCCTTCTGGGCGTCAGTGAAGCCTCGTACTTCTGTTACCCTGTCCACACACTTAGGAGGGATCTGATTGGCCGCTGCAGGTCTGGAAGTTATCCAGACGAGAGCCGAGGGAAGCAGCTTCCCCCTGATGAGGTTTGTCAGCAGCACGTTGACTGAGGACTGCTGTGAGACATCAGACACAACCTCATTGTTTCTGAAGTCCAGAGAAAGTCTGCTTTCATCCAGGCCGTCAAAGATGAGCAGCACTTTGCAGACAGCCAGCTGCTCTGCTGTGAGCTTCTGTAAGGTTGGATGGAAAACATGGAGCAGCCTGAGAAGACTGTACTGCTCACCTTTGATCAGGTTCAGCTCCCTGAAGGAGAGCGGGATCACCAGACTGACATCTTGGTTTCCCAAACCCTCGGCCCAGTCCAGAGTGAACTTCTGCACTGAGAAGGTTTTTCCAACTCCAGCGACTCCGTTGGTCAGGACCGCTCTGATGTGAGTCTGTTGGTCAGGTGAGGCTTTAAAGATGTCCTGGCACTTGATTGGAGTGTAATGGAGGGTCTCTTTCTTGGAAGCTGTCTCCAGCTGCCACACCTCATGTTGGGTATTAACCTCTTCACTCTGGCCTTGTGTGATGTAGAGCTCAGTGAAGATCCTGTTGAGGAGGGTTTCACTTTCATCAGTTCCTTCAGTCACACGTTCACAACTCCTCCTCAGACTGAGCCTATGTTCATCTAAAACCTCCTGCAGACCACGTTCTGCTGGAAGAGAAGGAAACGTGAGAATGAAAAAAATGTTTTAAATGAACTTATATTATGTACAACACAACAGGAAGAATCCTGTTTTCAGGCCTGAAGACACCAGGAGACAGCAGTGTTTCCCACAGAATTATACTTGTGATGGTAGCCGTGCACGATGAGCGGGGGGGGGGGGGGTGCTAATGGAGCACGCTCTGGAACTGTTAGTTTGCCGGAGCGTCGCAGCGGGGTTACTGCAGAGCGCATAATTGTGGCGCAGTTGCGCATGAGTGATGTGCAACAACATTTGACTCCCTGGTCTCCCTTTCTGTTGGTCGCTTATTAGCGGACCCTTCACGTGATGGCAGAGCGAACAGGTACAGGAGGCGTAGAGCGAGGGATCATTGTCCACTAGTTCATCGATCGCAGATGGCGTAGTGCTCGCAGACGGTTAAAAAAAAAAAAACCTAAATAGGTTGTGAAATATACTTGGGCGGCCGTTATTATTACATTACATTTCATTTAGCCGACGCTTTTATCCAAAGCGACTTACAATAAGTGCATTCGACCAAGACGATACAAACTTGAAGAATCATATAAGTACATCAGGTTTCATAGAGCCAAACCATTTCAAGTGAAACTCAACAGGCTTTAGATAAGTGCTTTGTTAGTATATAAGTGCTTTGTTAGTATCTATGTGCTTTGTTAGTATATAAGTGCTTTGTTAGTATATAAGTCCTTTGTTAGTATATAAGTGCTTTGTTAGTATATAAGTGCTCTGTTAGTATATAAGTCCTTTGTTAGTATATAAGTGCTTAGTTAGTATATAAGTGCTTTGTCAGTATATAAGTGCTTTGTCAGTATCTAAGTCCTTTGTTAGTATATAAGTGCTTGGTTAGTATATAAGTCCTTTGTTAGTATATAAGTCCTCTGTTAGTATATAAGTCCTTTGTTAGTATATAAGTGCTTAGTTAGTATATAAGTGCTTTGTTAGTATATAAGTGCTTAGTTAGTATATAAGTGCTTAGTTAGTATATAAGTGCTTTGTTAGTATATAAGTGCTTTGTTAGTATATAAGTCCTTTGTTAGTATATAAGTGCTTAGTTAGTATATAAGTGCTTTGTTAGTATATAAGTGCTTTGTTAGTATATAAGTCCTTTGTTAGTATATAAGTGCTTAGTTAGTATATAAGTGCTTTGTTAGTATATAAGTGCTTTGTTAGTATCTAAGTCCTTTGTTAGTATCTAAGTGCTTTGTTAGTATATAAGTGCTTTGTCAGTATCTAAGTCCTTTGTTAGTATATAAGTGCTTGGTTAGTATATAAGTCCTTTGTTAGTATCTAAGTCCTTTGTTAGTATATAAGTGCTTTGTCAGTATCTAAGTCCTTTGTTAGTATCTAAGTCCTTTGTTAGTATATAAGTGCTTTGTCAGTATCTAAGTCCTTTGTTAGTATATAAGTGCTTGGTTAGTATATAAGTCCTTTGTTAGTATATAAGTCCTCTGTTAGTATATAAGTCCTTTGTTAGTATATAAGTGCTTAGTTAGTATATAAGTGCTTTGTTAGTATATAAGTGCTTAGTTAGTATATAAGTGCTTAGTTAGTATATAAGTGCTTTGTTAGTATATAAGTGCTTTGTTAGTATATAAGTCCTTTGTTAGTATATAAGTGCTTAGTTAGTATATAAGTGCTTTGTTAGTATATAAGTGCTTTGTTAGTATATAAGTCCTTTGTTAGTATATAAGTGCTTAGTTAGTATATAAGTGCTTTGTTAGTATATAAGTGCTTTGTTAGTATCTAAGTCCTTTGTTAGTATCTAAGTGCTTTGTCAGTATATAAGTGCTTTGTCAGTATCTAAGTCCTTTGTTAGTATCTAAGTCCTTTGTTAGTATATAAGTGCTTTGTTAGTATATAAGTCCTTTGTTAGTATATAAGTGCTTTGTTAGTATCTAAGTCCTTTGTTAGTATATAAGTGCTTTGTTAGTATATAAGTCCTTTGTTAGTATATAAGTGCTTTGTTAGTATATAAGTGCTTTGTTAGTATATAAGTGCTTTGTTAGTATATAAGTGCTTTGTTAGTATATAAGTGCTTTGTTAGTATGTAAGTCCTTTGTTAGTATATAAGTGCTTAGTTAGTATATAAGTGCTTAGTTAGTATGTAAGTCCTTTGTTAGTATATAAGTGCTTTGTTAGTATATAAGTGCTTTGTTAGTATATAAGTGCTTTGTTAGTATATAAGTGCTTTGTTAGTATGTAAGTGCTTTGTTAGTATATAAGTGCTTTGTTAGTATCTAAGTGCTTTGTTAGTATATAAGTGCTTAGTTAGTATATAAGTGCTTAGTTAGTATATAAGTGCTTTGTTAGTATATAAGTGCTTTGTTAGTATATAAGTGCTTTGTTAGTATATAAGTGCTTTGTTAGTATGTAAGTGCTTTGTTAGTATGTAAGTGCTTTGTTAGTATATAAGTGCTTTGTTAGTATATAAGTGCTTTGTTAGTATATAAGTGCTTTGTTAGTATATAAGTGCTTTGTTAGTATATAAGTGCTTTGTTAGTATGTAAGTCCTTTGTTAGTATATAAGTGCTTAGTTAGTATATAAGTGCTTAGTTAGTATGTAAGTCCTTTGTTAGTATATAAGTGCTTTGTTAGTATATAAGTGCTTTGTTAGTATGTAAGTGCTTTGTTAGTATGTAAGTGCTTTGTTAGTATATAAGTGCTTTGTTAGTATATAAGTGCTTTGTTAGTATATAAGTGCTTTGTTAGTATATAAGTGCTTTGTTAGTATATAAGTGCTTTGTTAGTATGTAAGTGCTTTGTTAGTATCTAAGTGCTTTGTTAGTATATAAGTGCTTTTTATTTTGTTTGTTTTTTTGTTTTTAAATGTATTGCTCGAAGTGGAGTCGAAAGAGATGAGTTTTCAGTCTGCCCTGGAAGATGTGTAAGCTTTCTGCTGTCCTGATGTCAATGGGGAGCTCATTCCACCATTTTGGAGCCAGGATAGCAAACCCACGTGTTTTTGCTGATGGGAACTTGGGTCCCCCTCGCAGTGCGGGTGCAGCGAGCCGTTTGGCTGATGCAGAGCGGAGTGCACGTGCTGGGGTGTATGGTTTAACCATGTCCTGGATGTAGGAAGGGCCAGATCCATTCACATCATGGTACGCTAGCACCAGTGTCTTGAAGTGGATTCTAGCAGTTACTGGAAGCCAGTGAAGGGAGCGGAGGAGCGGTGTGGTGTGGGAGAATTTAGGAAGGTTGAAGACCAGACGAGCCGCTGCATTCTGGATGAGCTGCAGAGGTCGGACGGCACATGCAGGTAAACCTGCCAGGAGGGTAGTAATATACCTGGGCGGACGTTAATATACCTGGGCGGACGTTAATATACCTGGGCGGACGTTAATATACCTGGGCGGACGTTAATATATCTGGGTGGCCAGCCCAAGTAAAGTCTATCTGTGGGAAACCCTGGACAGATGTTCAGACTTACTTGTTACTGTTCTGGTCTGACTGGCTGTCTGCAGTCCAGCTCTGGTTCTGGATCTTTCTCCACACTGGGGACAGCAGGGGTCTCCTGATGGAGGTCTCTGCTCCCAGTATGAGGTGATGCACTGTCTGCAGAACCAGTGTCCACAGCTGGTAGAGACTGGATCCTTCAGGACGTCCTGACACAGAGCACAGCTGGACAGCTGCTCCTCCACAGGAACACCACTCTTCCTCTTCCCTCTGTGGAGATCAACACATCCTTTATAGCACTTTGCGGTGACTAATTTTCACCAATGGTACAACCCAAAGTTGGCAAATTCTTGTTTTTTTAAAGTTCTTTATCTGTAGATGATATTTCATCCTGGTAACTGTTCCCAAGTGGTAGATATTTAGTGATTCATATAATTATGAAACAAAACGCCCTTCTGTCTGTAACATCATCGCCTACAGCATGTTCACTGTACCTCACAAGTTTTACTACGGCTAAATTAAACTTGTTTATGTAATAACTACATAATGATTCCAATTTGTAAAAGCAGTGAACACTTTGTCAGGTCTGTCCACAACATGGAAAGCAAATCCCTTTCAAAATGCTAGTTCCTGAATGGACATTAGATTGAGTGGAGTTAGACTTAGCTAACATTGTGGCTGCTCCATTAAAAGTCAAACTAACAATCAATGGTTGATACACATAAATGTATAACTTCAATTCAATATGAAGTACTGTAGAGCTCTAGGTGCCGATATTTCCCTTATCTGATTCAAGTACGTCTGAGTTTCTATACTGGGCTCTACTGAGTTTCTATACTGAGCTCTACTGAGTTTCTATACTGAGCTCTACTGAGTTTCTGTACTGAGCTCTACTGAGTTTCTATACTGAGCTCTACTGAGTTTCTGTACTGTGATCTGCTACTCAGATCAAACCAGACTCCTCTTCAGGTCAGTTCACAGCAGAAACAGACTCTTACTTTGTGTCTGAGGGTCCAGGTTCATTACTGAAGACTGGAGGTTTCTCCATAGACCAGTCACTCTTCAGAGACAGACAGCTGGGGACTGGAGACTCTGCTCTCTGTCTGTGGAAACAACAGAATGTTTAACACACATCACTAGTTCTTGTAAAAAGCAGCGTTTGATTTCAGTTTTTATTTTCTTTCCCCTTTAAAGATTTTTGTTCTTACTCTAAACTTTATGTTTTAAAAATGGTGTTTGAGGGTTTCTGTTGTTACAATTCTTTGTGAGAGGGAAAAGTTCTACATGTTCAAAGTTGATTTACTAAACCTAACACAAAGTCCTACATGTCGAGTGTGAGAATGATTTCACAATAGTAGATGATTAACTGTTGCTGATGAGCACAGCCAGAGCTCAGTTACCTCTTTACTTTCCTCTTCTGGGTTTCTTTCCTCTCATTGACTTTGTTTCATGACTGAACTCCACAGTGATGCTTTACTGAGTCTCTGTACTGTGATCTGCTACTCAGATCATGTTTCATGAATGGGGCGAAGCCTATGAGCTAGTTCAGGCAGTCAACTCGAGCACTTATGCTGCATTCATACATAACGCCCCTTGCCACTCTACAACCAACCAAACAGAGTCTCCTCAATATGCCGCTCTATTTAACCTGCCAGATCTCTCCATGCATTGCTTGGTGCTGCTATTGCTGCAGCTACTTCCACATCGCTGCTGCTTGCTGCCCCACCACCACCCCAGCTTCCACCCCAGCTTCCACCTGTAGGCTCGGGGGGGTTAGTTATTTAATCATCACTCATCGTGCTATGTATATCTGTGGAGTGATGAGGCCCGAGCCTAGACGCCAAACTCAACTATATGCTGCTTCTAATAAACATGTTAAAGAAACACGTGAGTTGTCTGACTGAACTCCACAGTGAAGCTTTACTGAGTCTCTGTACTGTGATCTGCTACTCAGATCAAACCAGACTCCTCTTCAGGTCAGTTCACAGCAGAAACAGACTCTTACCTTGTGTCAGATGCTCCAAGTGTATTACTCAAATCTGGAGGTTTTCTGGACACTGAAGATTTGTCCTCCTCCTCATCATCCAAATCTCTCATGTTCTCCATCCTGAGAGATGAACTAGTAACCCTGGAGACAAATACATAAACACACACACTTTATAATGCAAGCATTTCAATCAAATCCATCATAATGATACATTTTGGTTTAAATTTGTGCTGTAAAAAAAAACGTGAATGGTTGAGAATAATCTGCAAACCTTAACGTGTCAAAACATTTACATAAAATGAATCATATTACCAAGTTTCACCCAAACTTCCTTCGTAACTCCAGCAGGTATTTTAACATGAATTGCACGGCAGTGGAAGTCAAGGAAAGAGAGAAATGGAACAAGCTAAATGTACATTTAATCAAGTACTGTACTTAAGTACAATTTTGAGGGACCTGTACTTTATTTTAATGTTCCACTACCCTGTACTTCTACTCCACTACAATTCAGAGGTAAATGGTGTACTTCTACTCCACTACATGTATTTAATACCTTTAGTTACTTCACAGATGTGGATGAATGATGTGAAATGTAATCAACACTTAAATCAGACTTTAGTTCCTCCTGGAGTAAATCCACAAGCTACCCTGCAGTATACAAAGTCATTCAAACTAGCTGCACCTTTACCAGCTTTGAGAACACTTTCATGATCAATCATTATAAAACATATCATATATATTATTCTGAAATGGACCAATCTGCACAATGACTACTTTTACTGTCGCTACTTTCACTATATTTTGATGAGAATACTTTTCTACTTTTACTTGAGGAACATTTTGAATACAGGACTTTTACTGTAACAGAGTATTCCTACACTCTGGTACTTCTACTTTTACTCAAGTACAAGATCTGAGTACTTCTACTTTTACTCAAGATCTGAGTACTTCTACTTTTACTCAAGTACAAGGTCTGAGTACTTCTACTTTTACTCAAGTACAAGATCTGAGTACTTCTACTTTGACTCAAGAGCAAGATCTGAGTACTTCTTCCACCTCCACACATCAGTCAGAGCTATAACTACCTCGGTGTAAAAGCACATTTAATCCATGACAAGTGTTGTGCACTCGTTCTTTAGGTCTGGTGAAAACGGAGGGGTGGCATTCTGCTGAATCCAGGAGATGGACAGCTCACTACTTTAGGAGCAGATAGTGCTCACAATATGATAGTGGCAGCAAGTAGCTATACTCCCATACGAGCAGAGTTGGTGTTGGGTACTGTAATAATATTACATTTGTCGGTAACGGAGTAATGTAACGCGTTACTGTTATACATTCAGTAATCACACTATAGTTACTAACATTGCGCGAAAAAATTACTAGATTCTCCCTTTGACAGACTAGACTAGTAGTTACTACATTATTCAGACGTTTAGGGGTTAGGGTTAGGGGTAACCCTAGGGTAACCCTTTTGTCGAAGGAACTGGAAGAAGTTTACTTCCGGGTTTTAGGACGCGTCACTGCGGTTCTCTCTGGTATGACAGCTATCATACTGAATACTGAATAAATATTTACTGTGAATGTATGCAAAGATGTATGGCATATAGCTGTCTAACAGAAGTTAAATCCATTTCTCACTTATTCTGACAATGTACTTAACCCCAAATAAAAGAACCCAATAAAAAGAGTCCATCTCGCACATGCGCAGTACAGATCGGGCAGGGGGGCAGCACGGGTAGTGACAGATACCGACAATGGTCATTGGAGCGAGGGGCGGGGCGAAACTCACGGAAGTGATTTCAAAACAAAAGCACTCGTTTGCTTGGAACGGTGATAATATTATAAACAAGGTGAATTTAGCGATCACAACGAAAACGGCCAAGACACATATTGAGCCCAGAAAATGAATGTTATTAAGGGCTGTAAATATAATAAGCCTCTGTCTAAAATGGACAACATTGTTAGGAGATTTAAACTATGCAGCGATTCTGCTCTGCGGTCACTCAGCCGTCTCTCCACTTTGTTTTTTCAAATCAGCTGCTCTTCATTTTTTGTCCTGCTATATTTGATGATCGATACAAATATTTGTTACCATAAGTTCTTAATAAAACTGATACTGTTGGACTCGGTACTAGTTTGACTGCTACCAGAAATAAAATGAAGTACTTTTACTGTGTACTTTGTGAGTAATCCTCTGTCAGAGTCCCCTCCATAGTACATAATGCATGCTTTCTGCTATCTTTGATGAGTGATACCACAATGTTACCATTAGTTCTTAATGATATTGATACTGCTGGACTCAGTAGTCTTACACCTACTACCACAATACAATGAAGTACTTCTAGTGTGTTGTTTTAAAAAAAAGTCCTCTGTCAATGTCCCCTCCTGAGAACAAAATCAAGCCACTTCTTCTAAGTTTGATGAGGGGGAAAATGATTTTTGCCATTAGTTCTTCGTGAGATTGATCCTGTTGGACTCAGTACTAGTGAAACTACTCCCACAAGTACTATGAAGTACTTTTACTGTGTACTTTGTGAGTACTCCTCTGTCAATGTCCCCTCCTGAGTACAAGAATGCATGTTTCTCTGCTATTTTTAATAAGCATTAAAACACCTTTCTTCCTGAGACTGATATTATTGGGCAGAGTATTTTAAGAGGATATGGTGGACATGATATCAGCAATACTTCCTGTCAGTACTCCGGCAGCAGCATTTTTACACCTTGGAAAGTCTTTAGAGTCTGGCCTGATAGCAAAGTGACAAACCCTTGTGACTTTACCTGTGTTTAGTCTAGAAAAAGGTACATTTTTATTTTATTATAAAGTTGTGTATATTTACCGACTGTTGCAAAAACTAAGAAGCTTATAAAAATCAGGTTTAAACTAAAAGAGCTGTACAAACACAATTAAAGATGTTTGGAGTTTTATTTGAGTTATTAATTGTAATGTTTTGTCAAAGAGAAGCTGATTTGAAACCGTTGTTACATACAGTTACAGCATTTCCTGTTTCTGCCGGAGAGAGGGGAGTTTGTCCCAAAGCTTGCCGCTGTGTTTACTCCCTCCATCTGACAGGAGGGAGCCTCGTTGAGCTGCGTGGCCGAGGCCGACCGTGTAGTGGAAATGCGCCTGTAAAGTCAAAAAGTCCTCGCTCTTCAGTTTACTTGTTGAATAAAGAAAAACAAACGGACGGTAGATACACGGATTCAAACCCCTCTTATTTCTCTCAGCAGTTTTTCATGGACTACTTTATTAGACTACTACACACGATGTATTTGTTTTATATCTCTCCAAAATACACGTTAACAGGCCTACTAATATTTTAAACTTCTGATTTATGAAGATTAATCACAGTTTATGATCGTGATTTACGCGATTACTTTTTGTTTTAAATCAACTAACACCACAGAACAAAAACACATAAGTCTGTATAGTTATGTAACCATGATGGCGCAGACACACGGACGTGAAAGGGGAAGTTTAGGCCTCCAACATTTCAATATGCCACATCGGACTCTAAGACGTTGCTTTTTTATCGAGACTGTATTTTTCTGAGATAACGTCAAACAGAGTAAACATGAATTTTTAGGAAACCCCAGCAGAGCCTGGTTTTAACACTCACCCTGTTCTCTTTCTGCTGCTCTGTCAACGTGTGAAATGGAGTCTGTCTGTTACTCACTTACTTTCACTTTCGAGGTCCCTCCCTGTTTGCAGCTCCCTTCGATCAAGTTACACAGGAGAACATATTACAGGAAGACAGGAACAGACATGTAGCTACAAACAAGCACAACAAAGTACTTGAAGTAAAAGAACACATCAACACAGTGTGTTCAAATAACCCAATACAAATACATATCCATATCCTCCCGCGGGCAGTGAGACTGTTAAACAATTGAACTGCTGAAACAACTTCAAAACATTCATCTGCTACTCAGTAATATGTATCTAATATCTAATATATATCATTCCAATAACTTGTATATAGACTCATACTGCACTATTCCACATGCTCACTTTATTTTATAACTATTTTTCTTTTTGTATTGCTCTTGCTATCTGTATTGTTATTATGTTGCATTGTTGGAGAAGCCTGTGACCTAAGATTTTCAACAACATAATTACTCTGTAGCTATGTCAGTTTGACAATAAAGAACCTTGAACCTTGAACCTTGAACCTTGCATGTAAAACTATACTTAAGTACAAATATTGTTAGTATTATCAGTAAATGTTATTTCAAATGGTTAATAGTGCAGTATTGTATTCATGTACATTCACAGATATAAAACAGATGATATAGAATATTATATATTGTTACTAAAAGCACTTGTCTTTGATATTATAATGATTACGCCTGAAAGTCACTCTTTGTGAGATTTATTTGTTCACATTTTTCCCAGCCACAAGATGATTTCATTCATTGGAGGCCTCAAAGCTGGGTGAAGGTATTGATACATACTGTAACGGACTGGTTATAATGTTGATGTTTGATGTGTTTGTTGTTCAGAGTTTGTTTGCATTTTACAGAGTGTCAGTGAACGTCACAAGTAAGAAGGAAATTCACAAGTAAGAAGGAAATTCACAAGTAAGAAGGAAATTACATACCTAGGATCTATTCTTGAGGCAAACCTCTCCTGTGACAAAATGGCATCCAATGTAATTAAAAAAGTCAATCAAAGAACTAGATTCCTATACCGGATCTCCTCTCTGGTAAACAAAAACACCCTGAAAACTCTGGCAGGAGCACTCATTCAAGGGTACTATGACTATGCTTGCACGTCATGGTACCATAGCACCTCCAAGGCGCTAAAAATAAAACTTCAAACATCGCAAAATAAACTGGTCAGACTACTGCTTGACCTTTCATCTAGAACCCACCTCACCTCTGCCCACTTTGACAACCTAGGATGGCTTAGAGTAGACGACAGAGTACAGCTACTTGCAATGGGCCTGGTCTACAAGATCCACTACACCTCTATGGTACCCATGTACATGTCAAAATTCTTCCCAAAGGTCAAGGAATACCATGATCATAACACCAGAGGGAGCTCCACAAATCATGTAAAACCCAGATTTGGCACAAAAAAAAGGGGAATACACGTTTCGCAATTATGCCACATCAAGGTGGAACGCTCTTCCCACAACTGTAAAGGAAAGTAAAACTATACTTACCTTCAAAACCTCTCTTAAAGAGCACCTTCGGGGGAAAGCATTGCAAAACTGGCCCCGGTAATGGTACAAATCTCAACCTGTCGTACAATGGACAGCTTCCCCTCCCCATCTATGTATATACTCGCATTTTAGACTCTGTTACTAACTGTATATCTGTAGACTTGGTATGTCTTAAATGTCCGGTTAGGATGTATTAGAACGAAATCTAAAATGAAAATTGTAAATAAGCCATCTGTATGTAAAAAAACCACCTGTATGTAAATTGTAAATAAGCCATCTGTATGTCAAATATGTCTTATATGTCTTAAATGATATGATGAATTGGAAATGGGGGACCCTGATGTAAACAAGACGAAAGTCTTTCTCTGGTCTGCATCCCCTTAACAATTGTATGTTTTGAGCTGTACTGTACTGTACCCAATATACAAGCTGTTAATAAACTTTTCAATCAATCAATCAATCAAACGTGCCACTGTTTTGATGGACGGTTCTTGTGACCTGTAGCTGTGGGTTTGGGTGGGAGAGTGTTGTCTGGTTGGTTGGGGCTGGAAGAGGGAGGTTCCTGGAGGGGGAGACGCGGGAAGCGAGAGAAGAGCTTGAGGAATATGTGACGGAGAGTGAGGATATACGACAGAGTTAGTGGATTGTTTGGCGTGGTTATGGCCAACAGTAACCTGTGATCTGTATAATAAACTCCCGGATAAAGGACAAACCAAGCCTCCCTGTGTTCCTGTAGCGAGACGCTACATTTGGTGTCAGAAGTAAAAGTTCAACTCCGGATTAACGACAGCTAACGAGCGGCGTGCTACAGTGATTGCTGCCATACAGCCTACAGTTTCCATCTCGGTGAGAACATGTCGCTGTGGGACTACTACAGTGAGAAATAAAACAACTATTTGCCCCACCATAGTGAAATTACAGACAGTTACCGGGGAACGATGTCCGATGGTGGGAGAGACAATTGTGACAATGGGGGTGGGAAAGAAGTCTGTTCGCTGCCCAGTGTGGGTCGCAGACCTGGAAGATTGCATCCTGGGGCTGGATGTTCTTGGGACATTAGACTGTGTCATTGACACAAAGAGGGGTACACTCACTTTTCCAGATGGACAGGTCGTTCAGATGTGTAGGCGGCCACCCCAGACAGGCTGTCGTGTGACCCACACCATTATAACACAGACAACCGAGACAGTGACCGACGCCGTTGCTTGTTGCGACTCCCAGATGACGGCACCTGCACAAACCCCCACCCTGCCGACCCTGGACCCTTGTCTTCACCCAGTTATTGCTGCAGAACCTGTCACCGATGAGAGAGTTTCGGCAGTGACAGAGGTCTGGCAGAGAAACTCTGATGGACTAACTCCCAATGAGCAGAACCTGCTGCTGCAGCTCTTGCTGGAATTCAAAGACTGTTTTTCACTGTCTGAGACCGATATTGGCCGGACAGATCTCATCGAACACAACATCGACACTGGAGATGCACAGCCCATTAGAATGAGACCACGACGCCTCCCTCTGGCCAGACAAGCTGCAGCGGATAAAGCACTGGGGGAGATGCAACGGGCTGGACTCATCGAACCCTCCAACAGCCCCTGGGCCGCTCCAGTAGTCATGGTTCCTAAGAAAAAGAAGGAGGACTTTCGGTTCTGCGTAGACTTCAGACCGCTCAATAAAGTGACCAAGAAGGACCTGTACCCACTTCCTCGCATCGATGAGGCACTCGATACAGTGGCAGGGTCTTCCTGGTTCTCCTCCCTGGATCTACGCAGCGGATATTGGCAGGTCCCCCTTTGCCCTGAGGCCAGACAGAAGACAGCCTTCATCACCAACGGGGGTTTATGGCAGTTTAAAGTTCTTCCATTCGGCCTCTGTAATGCCCCTGCCACGTTTGAGAGGCTTATGGACCAGGTACTGGCAGACATCCCCCGCCATGAGTGTGTTGTTTACCTGGACGACATCCTCGTCCATGGGAAATCCTTCGAATCAGCTCTCGGGGCCCTCAAACGTGTGCTGGTGAGAGTGGCTGGAGCAGGACTGAAATTGCACCCCCAGAAGTGCTGTTTTGTGAAGCGTGAGGTGACTTTTCTCAGTCACAGGCTAACGGAGGGCGGCGTCGGCACCATGGGAGAGAAGGTGCAGGCTGTGAAGGACTGGCCCACCCCCAGCTCTGTGCAGGACCTGAAGAGCTTCCTGGGCCTGTCCTCCTACTACAGGAGGTTTGTGAAAGGGTTCTCCTGCATAGCTACGCCGCTGTTCCGCCTGTTACAGAAAGGAGAGGTGTTTTCATGGACAATGGAGTGTCAAGCAGCATTTGCTTTACTACAGGAAGCCCTAGTGGAGGCACCGATCCTCTTTCCCCCTGACCCCACCCTTCCCTTCATCCTCGACACCGATGCCAGCAACAGTGGAGCAGGAGCCGTGCTGGCCCAGGTGACACCAGAAGGAGAGAGAGTAGTGGCCTACTATAGCAGAACATTTAACAAAGCTGAACGCCGCTACTGTGTCACCAGACGGGAACTGCTTGCTGTGGTCAGCGCCATCCGGCACTTCAGGTACTACCTAGGGGGCCTCCACTTCACAGTCCGGACTGATCACTCTGCCTTACAGTGGCTCATGTCCTTCAAAGAACCAGAAGGTCAGCTGGCACGCTGGATTGAAGAGTTACAAGCATATGACTTCACCATAATTCACAGACCTGGCGTGCAGCACGGCAACGCTGATGCACTCTCCCGCCGCCCCTGCTACAGTGATGACTGCCGCTACTGCGTGAAGAGAGAGACACAGGAGAGGGAATGTCTACAGGCTGAGGTGATATGTGCAGCTGTGGGACCAGTCGGGGCATCAACTGACCATGGACTTTTAGCTGTAGATGCTGCCGAATGGAGGAAGAATCAGGAGGGGGATGTCGACATCAGGCCGGTGACCGCTTGGGTGGCTGCACAACACAAACCCCGGTGGGAACAGATCTCTGAGTTTTCTCGTGCCACAAAAGGGCTATGGTCAATGTTCGAAGCCCTGCGGCTGTGTGATGGAGTGCTGCAGAGGGGGTGGAAGGAACCGGCTACAGGAGAGACACGGTGGCAGGTGGTGGTGCCGAGGACCCTGCGGGAGACGGTACTTCGGTCAGTGCATGGAACTCCAGGATCTGGTCACTTTGGGGTCTCTAAGACTCTCCGCCGCCTGCGACAGAGATTCTACTGGGGCCAACACAGACGAGACGTGGAAGATTACTGTCGCCGCTGCGACAGCTGCACTGCACGTAAGGGCCCTACCGACAGATCTCATGCCCAGCTCCAGCAATTTCCGGTAGGGTGCACAATGGAGAGGATCGGGATCGACGTTCTTGGGCCGTTTCCCCGCACAGAAAAAGGGAACCGCTACATCCTCACAGCCATGGACTACTTCACTAAGTGGCCTGAGGCATACAGCCTACCAAATCAAGAGGCAGAGACTATTGTGGATGCTTTGGTGGAGGGAATGTTTAGCAGATTCGGGGCGCCTGAAGTCATACACACAGACCAGGGCCGGAACTTTGAGTCCCGAGTGTTTAAGGCTATGTGCGAAAAACTGGGGTCCCATAAG